TCACTAAGGCCACACTCGGTTTCGGCGCGGAAACCGTAGGCAGGCAGGATAGATAGGCAGGAGAGTCGCGCCTCGTCCCGATTTGGCGCGATTCCGCGATCATACGAAGCTTAAAACGGAAGACAGTTCCGCGATCGTTTACGTTACGTTTTCTCTCTCTCGTTTCTGGAGCGGTTCGGTGTAATTCCTCTTGTCTGGTAAGGCGGTTGTCAGGTCGTGTGATAAACAACGGGGACCAATTAAAGTTGGTGGAGTACGAGTAGCAAGTACGAGAGATCCAGTAATTTAGTCTTTTCGCACGAGAACAGAAGGGATTCGCCAACGCGATGCCATCGATCAACTTCCTAGGTGATTCTAATTATGAGTTAGATAACGTTAAAAGGAGATCAAATTTAGCTTGTTCGTTAATCTATTTTGTAATTAATATTTTATGAATTTATATATTCGATTAAATATAAAATTAGATAAATATATTGAAACTTATTCTCAGTGAATTTTATCTCTACGTTTGTATTTGTATTTCGATATAATATAAAAGGAATCGTAATAAATCTTATAGGAAAGATCGATTATCAGAGCTTAAGATATGCATTAAAAAATAGCTGTATAACCGAATCCATTATTTATAGATATAGGTAAACTCACGCTTTAGATCGCAATTTAAATCTCGTATATAACTGGTATTAAAACTGGTCTCGACCTCACGTTCGGTTAGACTGACCCGATAACACGGGTCTAATTCGCGACCCACTTCCCAGTCACGTTCCCTCCTCGAGTTACGCGGATTTCGTGGATCGCAATTAGGCGGGAAGAAAAAAGAGCGGGCTAATTCATGCGGGGCGAGCGAGCGGCCAATTTGAATTAATCGAAGCGTGCGGTAGCCGAGCCGGTGTTGGCGTAATTTGTAAAGTAACCACGCGGTTCGTACACATTATATAACCATAGAATACGTAATGCGTTTGGTGGTGGATCGCGGAGGCCAGACAAGAAGTCGCCATCGAAACGCGTCCGCCACACGCGCATCTATTTTAATCCACCGATATTATAATAATCGTCCGAGCGAACCGTTTCCCGCTCGTTGATCGCAGCATGGTCCACGCTGAATGAAGGGCCTCTCCTCGAGTCATGGAGAGCAACATGGTTCTTGGCCCCTCGAGGGGCCAAACCGACACGCCGCGTGTAATCACTGTAATTTCGAGCGTGGACCGGCGTAATTTTTCTTTTTTCTCTCTCCATTTTGGCCGAGCCGATCGTGAACTTTCATTCGATTTCATTAAAACGACGGGAAACCCCGGGCGATCTTCGCAGGTCGTGCGACGATAACGCGACGTGACCGACCAATGATTCTATCCTGGACCCGTGTTACACGCCACTTTTCTCTTTTTTTTTTTCCGAGGCTAGAATTTTCGATTCTTTTACTTTAGAGAAGAATAAAAGTAAAAAAGTGAAAAAGTATGAGTCCTTAGAATAAAATATCGGTGAAGTATTCGACTTGTTTCTCTTGCGTTGCTTTTGTTTATGATGGGTCATAGAAATGAATAAAATGAAAAAAGCGGCGTTTGAAAAAATGCATCGTTAATAATACAGAATACGATTAAAAATGATCTGCAAGTAAAATCGGACCGTTTCCGCGTTTTAGACAAAAAGTATTTTTGATTGCATGTCGAGAATAACGAATTACAATTACGATAGAATTTGAAACGAAAATTGAGAAACAAAATAATCAATTAGCAAAAATTATATCGATAAAGTTATTCCTATTCACTCATCCGCTCAGAATATAAATCACTATCATTAAGAAACAATTTTAGAAAGCTTACAATTCACAACCGTAAAAATTTTTAATAAAAGCTCAATAAATCATTTTAGGTTAAAAACAATATATGATAATTACAATATCCATATATTGTATTGTAATTATGAACGAATTCAATTCGTCGTGTAATAAGCATCAAAAATGTTATATAACTTCATAAAATGCTTATAGATCAAGTCTATTTCAAGTGATAAAAAGAATAACGCAGAAAAAAAAAGTAGGACTCACAGGCATCGATGGCGGCATTCCGCGCAGCGCAGCACCGCTCCACTTGCGCTTTCTGTTTTGATACTGCGCGGTCCTGTAGCTATTATTGTTGTGATGACCGGTATACATCGGTGCACGCTGCTGCATCGATGGTCGAAACGCGGGATAAGCCATTCCAGGATATCCTTTCCCATGGTAATCACCAATCTCGTATCTATGAGGATCGTGATGCATAAAAACACTGTCACTAGCGACACCAGACACGGGCACTCTGTAACGTTCCTGTTCGTGTTCATGCTCGTCAATTTTCCCAATAGGTCGATCTGGAGATGGTCTGGCGCCATGAAACGAGGGAGGTAGCATTGCTGGCCCATAAAAATGTGAAAATCCATAAGAATTCGAAAGCCCGGAGTTTACCGGCCGTGGATAACCTTGATGGGGTGGCTGACACTGATTGATAATTTCGGAATTTGCATCGAACTTCGTTGGAACGATTGGTTTCCTGTCATAATGGTAATCGTGTTGAATGGCATGATATTCGTCTTGGGTTTCTCGTTTAACGTCGAACAGTTCCGTCGACTCCGGCGCTTCGATTTTAACCCGAACTCGACCGTCGGCGACGCCCGTGTTGGAGTTTTTCGGCGAATTTCTCGGGGCCGAATCCCCGTCGCCTACACTACCCTGCTGCATCCTAAGGATATCCACAGTGACGCGGCGGCCCGCGTCAAACTGCGAATCCGACCGTGTCGAATAACGGTCGAATCATAAATATGATCACGAATGTATTATGGCAATCGATGGATTGAACGAGCATTATTCGAGAACAATCGCGAACCAGTATTGTTGAAAAAGATTAAATAATTGATTATGTTGTACGTCGAGAAGTGTCGTGATCGCGTGCTATGATCGAATTTATCATAATCTTTAATAATCGTTCTTGATATCATGCGATCAGATGATGAAAAACGTGGCAAATACAATTAAATTTCAATCACTATTATCGATATCACTGCCATTTTCGTTTTTTCGAAATATTATGAAAAAAAAATTCGTTGAAAATTTTTCTAATATCACATTTGTAATATCGTTGTATTTCCTATTTGATTTTATAAATCATTAAAATTGAAAATTCGAAATTCCAAGAGTGACGAGCATGAAAAAATGATATGGCTGGTCGTTTAAATATAATATATTCTTAGAGGAGCATCATCAATAAGCATCGCGATCGTGAAGCGTACGCTTGTATATCCAGCATGAAAAAATTGATCAGTCGAGCACAACGAAATAAAGAAGCGAAGAATCGAGGAGCGAACAGAAGCGTTCGGCGGCACGCTGTCGGTTGGTAGAAGCAGCGCTCGTATAGTTGGCTCGGTGCTTTTCGGTCGAGTGGAGGGGGTGAAGGAGGGGAGGACAAGGGCGGCGTGACAGTTTCCGTGTCACGTGTCCCCGACCTTAGGCCCCGCCTACGACTCCGATTTTCCTTCGGTCGGATCGTTACCTGGCCCTATCGGGGGCCCTTTCCTTCTCGTCATTCGTCGAGTGTCGCTCGTACGAGTCGCACGATTTCTATTGAGCGTCGGAAAACGAAGGAGAGATAGATTTTCTCCGAAGGGTTGTCACTTCCAGCTGGTTCTTGGCGCGAGCGAACGAACAAAGTGTCCACGATGCAGACACGCTTCAGAGCTTCTCTTCTTTCTCTTTTTCTCCCTCTCCGACAACGAAAGACGACAAGACGTCGTCGAGCGTGAAGCACCGTGTATACGTACGCGCGAGAACGGACGACTCGCGTTTTCACCGTGTTCCGCGAACTTTTTACGGTACACTGCTTCGAGAATCCAGCGGCAACCGACGTGCTTGCTCTCGTTCAATCACACAGACAACAAGAGGGGGTCGAACCGTCCGAGGATCGAACCTGACTCTCTTGACGCGATACCCGGTTTTACCTATCGCGATTGACGCTATCTCGCGATCAGGGTCACGAATTACGGGGAAAAAACACCATATCGGTCAAGAACGCAACGAGCATACGTAAGGATGCCGGATTGCCTCGGTCGAGCTGATCGCGTACGAGTTTCGTTCCACGCAGCGTGAAACTTGGCGGAGGTGCGCGGCCACCACCAGCTAGCGGGAACGCACGAGCCTGCCCGAATACGCCCGAGCTCCGATATATCTCCTCTACCTACGGAGTTGGCCGGTTGCCTCCCGCCTTCCGTAGACCTACACAGCTAGACCCACTTTGTGGGTTCACCTTTTGTTGAATCTACCAGTGCACTTCTATTCACGGTTTACTACTTCTTCTCGCGATGTGTCTACGCGTTCTCCGCCGCGTTTTCGCCCATTTACCGTCCCTCGACAAACCATATCTCTTTAAACGAACGTTCTTCGAACCTGTCTAACCTCTCCAAACCTGATTTCTTTTTTGCTTCTTTTTGTTACTGCTAGTCTAATTCTTTTGAAACGTAAGTAAATATAAATCTAAATGTTTCGAGTAGTTTTTATGTTCTATTTCTGTATGCTTTTGATTATCCTGTTTACTACGAAGAACGTAGATTGAAAATATCAATTGGATAATTCGCTTACCTCTTTCTTTATCTCGTTTTTGTATTCGCATTTTTACGTTCTTCAGAGATGTTTTCATGAACAATACGTAATCTCACTACAAAAAAAGTAATAACGAATATAAATAAGACGCAAACACTTTTGAGATGAGAAGATTCGAGCTACTTATAGGCGAGATTTGAACTAGTATAGCGTTACAGTTACAATATTACGATTAACTAATCGACCTACGTCGATAAAAAAGTTCGATTATGCGCAACTTCAGAGCATAGTAGATTCGTCTGTCATTTTTATTAGACTACAAATCCGGTATGTAATGATTTTTATTTTTTTTAGAGTATTATTATGATTCTTATCGACTTTTATTAATATATATTTTATTTTTAAATTAATCAATTTTAGTATAGATTTCGATGCCTAGTGTATTAAGAGTGTTTAAAAGAGTGTTTAGCTTAAAAAAATATATATATTTGAAAAAAATAAATTCTAATTCTGATAAATCATAGACTTTATATTTGAAACATACTAAATTGTACGTAACAAATCAATATTATTTCATTTGACAAGTTTCTCTGTGTATAATTATTCATTGAGTGTTGCTAACATAACCAAAAAAAATTATAGAATTTGAAACATTAATAAACATTCCTATTTCATTAAAGTATCATTTATATGTGACAAAGAAAATATCAATTTGTTCAAAATAAATGATAGACAAGTATTAATAAATATCAAATGCCTAAATTAATTTAATGCAATTTATTTACCAATACTTTATGCATTGTTCGTTCCATTGTACGATATTTACATTGTATGTAATAAATTTGTTAATTTAAAGCAATTTATTTATCATTATTTGATTCTTCGCTCTATTGGCATATAATGTCTATGATATATAATGAAATAATAAAGAATAAGTAAATAAAATTAGTCAAATACATCGTTCCATACGAACGTATTAAAAATAACATTGCAGCGAATATTCGACGCGAGTAGTCGATAAGGAAAGTACCTACAATTGTGGCACGAAAAGATGGAAATTTATCATTTTCGATTCTACGTTACCCTCAGCGTCTATTTCGATGAGAACCGCCATTCGCGATTCTGTGCGCGCCGTTACACGATATATCAGATTACGTATCCGTTGCGTCATGTAAATTGATACTTGTACACGGCTGAACACCACGAGCGAACATTTATTTGAGTGATAAATTATCGTAATGTCGAACAGTCACGCTTTCAATTCCAATTTTGCTAACTAGATCACCGAGCATCGCTCGACAACATAGTGGATGGGAGCTTAAGCCATGTTAAGTAGTCGTCAAGACTCGTACGACCGTTACACAATGAAACAAAGAAGGCATGAAAAAATTCAATCGTCCTTTTCAATTTTGCGATATTAGATATTTAAATATTAAATTTATACATGTTTTTTAATCCATTCAATTTATTCTTTTGTATTAATTCTTTTTTTTCCTTTTTTTTTTTTATTATAGATCAGATTTTCCGTACATTCTCAACTATACCTAAATATCTTATTGGCAAGTAACGTATGCGTTTTTACCTGCGCCCCGGTTTCGAGACAAAGGAGACAAGATCCTCGACTCCCTTCTTTCGATCGTACAATAGTCCACGTTCCTATGCGTATGCAGCTTCACAGCAGGATGACTGGTGAGAGAATTCAATTTCCATTGTCGTTATCGCAATTGCATCTTTCTCTTGTTATGTTCGTACGTTATTTCATTTTTTTTTTCTGATAAACATCTAACCTCGTACTTGATAAAGGACAGAGTCACTGTCTTGTTCAACAATCTCGAGTTATATATATAGATAAATTTAATAATAAAAATTAATTGATCGTTTAGTTCTATTCTCTTTTTCAATCTAATACACATATTTCAAAATTTGCCATTTTAATAAATATAAACGCGAGTCTTCCATAATTTAACGCAATAACATCTTCCAGTCACTCAACGAGATTTATCTCTTTGAAATAGTGACGCAGAAAGGAAAAATCCACGACGTTTGAAACACGTCAGCTTGATCGATACCACTTGACAGTGACATATCGGGATCGAAAAATGTCCGGCATGAGATCGTCCGCGACCTTTAAAACGTAGTTGCAGATTTTTCAACCGCGTTTCTGCCCGAGTGCCCGACGATAACGCGCGGTTTCCCGCGCGATAACCAACGAGTCGAGCGAAAACGATGATATTTCACGGGCCGGGGAGAGCGGCTCCTCGTTACGCAACCGGGCCACGCTTCCCAGCTGTCCGATCGTTGATTGGAAGGGGAACGACGGGGCAACATGGGTATCGTAGGGCAAAGAAAAACAAGCCCACGTCAAACGCGTACATCGATTACCGGCTTGTTTAGGTTAGGCGATGATACGCCCAGCTGTAACGGAGATCCCCGGAAAATTAGACCTATTTCCGGGGCCAATGCGAATTTAGACATTGCTCTTTTTTTTTTGTTGCATTATATTAACGCATTGTTATTCGATTATCTTATAGAAATAATAATGTTTTTTTATTTATTTTTATAATTAGATGAAAAATAAAATGAATAATTTTCAATAATTATTAAAGATCTGTTATTTGAGAATGAATAGGTGGATATTTTTAAATAAAAATTTAGAAATTATAAAGATAGAAATTTAGAAATTTAGAAATTTGTCAATACTATGATAAAATCAGCTTCTGAAACGATACATTGTTTTACAAACAGTGTGTGAGTGTCTAAGATTATGTTCATCTCTTCGATATGTAAATGCAGAACAAACGTTCTTTATTCATAGCTTGACATTACGCGATACGTTTAGGGAGTAAACTATATACTATGTATAGACAGTTGGTCAAGAGTTATCCGAGCATACTTCGCAGAACCACCCAATGCTATTCTCGAGTCCGCGTTTCTCAATCTGCTCGACGATACCCAGTAGAGCAGTAGCGCGGTGTACGAGCATCGAGTTGTTTCCCGAGTAATCTAATTTCCAATTTCCGCCCGGAGGACGGTTTGCGCGATAAAATTCCGTGTTCTCAGCGTATAAGTTAGCTACCATCCTTCCCTCTACCCCCTGTTCTCTCGTGAAAACCAGTAATTACCAGCGCGGTCAAAGGATGTCGGACGAAACACCGTTGAAATACGTGCAATCTCGCGAAGAATTTTCACCGAGGAGGCCCCCAGAGCCGGCGTCGATCCTGGCCAGCGTTT